TCTTTATTATCAAAATTACATTATATCAGTATAATTGTTAACAATAAAATAATTAAAATATTTTTTACTGTTGTGATTGTCTATGTGTAGGTGCAAAATGATACTTTTGCCCCCTCAGAAAAATTGTCGTGGGTGCAACTGCACACTCATGCCCCCCCTAGATTCCGCCTATGATTGTTGTTGTGAAGCAACGCGTGGCGCAACACCGATCGAACGGCATGACAACTTACTGTACCATGCTATACCGCAATGACAATTAAAATCCGTTTATTCGATGAGCTTTAAAAATCGGGTCCATTTCTACGCTCCCCTCCCTCCCACTGATTCGGAATTTTGGAATTCTGTTTGCGCAGATCGTTTGTACACAAATGTGCATGATTTCAGGTCATTTTTGCATAACAAGTGTGTCAGAACTCAGAAAGGAAGTACAACTACAAGTGTTGGAAAAGATAACCTATATTTTTGTCTAGATTAAAGATAATCTTTCAGTTATCTAGATGAAATAAAACAATAAAAGATAATTCTTTAAAATAGTATATAAATATAACATAATATGGTTGWACTAGAATTTGTATTARAAATGTTTTTAATGTAGTAATTTAAATTGTAAAATGCATATAAATGTACCTATATACAATTTCATTCTTAAAATATTGTCGTAAAGAACTATTTTACTTGATATTATAATATAATTTATAAGAGATTATAGCATATTTTATAGAGAGTACTGAGTAGGGACTGGTTATTGCCAAGGCTGGGCATTAACGATTAAATAAGTTAAAAGTTAGGTTAATTTTAACTTATTAACTTAGGTAACTTACTAGTTCGCTGTTTTAATTAACTTAACTTATTTTTATCTACTACGTTAACTTAAAATCAACTTTTTTAATATCACCAATTTAGTTAATTTTTAATTTTCGTTTTATCTAGAATATATTTTAGTCTATAATGGTTCGTCGATTTAAAATTCGTGGAATATTAGAAAATATTATTGGAAAAAAAAGAAGATATTTTCGTAATTAATTTTATAAATAACAAATAATATGTTATACTAATTAAGGATGTACTTATAAAATAATAAATAATAATTTATAATATAGARATAACATTGAAACAATGTGATATTAAGTCGCCCGTATGATCGTATATTATTATATAAGATATATCAATAGCTACGAGCTCACAAAGTTACGTTAAATAATACCAGTTTAAATTACATTATGTATTACTCATTAAATTAAATTTATTACATTATAATATGTAATGTTAACACTAGGACCAAATGTTTATATGTGAATAACTATTAGGAAAATAGTTTTAAGCACAAGTGTTATTTCGTGATTTACTACCAAAATTTGTAATTTATTTGTAATTTTAACATTGTTATATTGAAACATTGTAACACTGTTGATTTATTTAATTCAATGCTATTAATTAAAACAATGTTTAATAATAATAATTAAATAAACAACACATTCAATATAAAAATGTACAATATATTATTATAGGTATATTTAACCAGGCTCTATTATTTGTATTGTTAGAAGTGAAATGAAAAAGCAATGTGTTACATATATGTATGTATAAATGTATAATAATATTTAACAATGCAATCAAATCAAACTACAAAAATCAGGAAATGCTCATATTTTCTAGTGGCTGGCATATTTTGTAATAATTTTTGTTATTAGCCCCCTCTTACTATATYACTTAGTAAGTAGGTATATTGTTAAAGAGTGTYATACAAAAATATATACACTAGTGTACACTTTGCATTTAATGATAGTGATATAGCCGATATTATTAACAATATTCACGATTTTCCCATTGACGAAAATTTAGTTGAACCGCGTATTCCATGGCAACGCCGTGAAATGTCAGCCTTTACTTATGATAAACAAATAGATTATAAAAATGATTCTCACGTTATCATAGGAAATATGAATTTAATRTGTAATTATTGTCATGCATTAAAATGGTCCAAAGAGCCTACAGGTTTTTACTGTTCAGGAGAAAAAGTTGTTTTGGAAGATATTGCTGATCCRCCTGAACGATTAAAAAGTCTCTTAAATTTTTCTCATGAAAATTCAAAGAATTTTTTGGATATGATACATATTTATAATTCGGCTTTCCAAATGAGGTCTTTAGTGCAACGGAAATAAAATATGGACATTTTATACCAACATTTAAAGTTCAAGGGCAAGTATATCATTTGGCTGGTTCTTTATTACCCACCGGTACAGAAGAACCAAAGTTTTTACAGATATATTTTATGGGTGACTCGGAGAATGAAGCGAAAAGGCGTTTGTCTATTTCTCCCAATACAGATAACAAATAATATATGATTTGTAATATATGTTGCATAGAAATAATTCGTACATTCGTAGTTTTAAGAGTGCAATCGATTTGATGCCGTCCAATCCAATTTAAGATTGTTATTAGGGCTGACAGAAAACCACAAACAGAACATCGTGTTCGATATAATACTCCTCAAACTAATGAAGTAACCATATTAATTGTCGGACAAGAATTTTTTAAAAGAKATATTATATTAAGAKCTAGAGATAATATATTAACACGCGTAAGTGAAATTCATCGTTCGTACGATGCGTTACAGCTAGTATCATTTAATGTTTTGTTATGGCCAGAATGGTTATTCTATTGATGTTTCGCAAGTTAATCCAATTACAAAAATTCCTCTTAATAAAACTGTTTCCGCCATGGACTTTTACTCTTATAGACTCCAAATCAGAGAAAATTCTAATATTATACTTAAATACGRAAAACTTTTGAATCGATATATTGTTGAYATGTACGCGAAAATTGAAACTGAATGGCTTCAATATCTAAGAGCAAATCAAATTAGATTACGAACTGAACTTTACACTGACCTTCAAGATGCGATGCAAGCTGACGGAAACCCAGATCAACCCAGATCTCAGCCAGAGAGTGATTTTACYATCTTCATTTGTTGGTGGTCCACGCTACATGCAGAAACGTAAACAAGATGTCATACTTACGTACGAAATTATGGACGCCCAGATATTTTTATACGATGACGTGCAATCCTCAATGGCCGGATATTTAATCATGTTTATTTCCTAATCAAAAACCAGCTGACCGGAATGATATTATCGCTCGCGTTTTCAATTTGAAAGTGAAAAAANTTATTATATAAGATATATCAATAGCTACGAGCTCACAAAGTTACGTTAAATAATACCAGTTTAAATTACATTATGTATTACTCATTAAATTAAATTTATTACATTATAATATGTAATGTTAACACTAGGACCAAATGTTTATATGTGAATAACTATTAGGAAAATAGTTTTAAGCACAAGTGTTATTTCGTGATTTACTACCAAAATTTGTAATTTATTTGTAATTTTAACATTGTTATATTGAAACATTGTAACACTGTTGATTTATTTAATTCAATGCTATTAATTAAAACAATGTTTAATAATAATAATTAAATAAACAACACATTCAATATAAAAATGTACAATATATTATTATAGGTATATTTAACCAGGCTCTATTATTTGTATTGTTAGAAGTGAAATGAAAAAGCAATGTGTTACATATATGTATGTATAAATGTATAATAATATTTAACAATGCAATCAAATCAAACTACAAAAATCAGGAAATGCTCATATTTTCTAGTGGCTGGCATATTTTGTAATAATTTTTGTTATTAGCCCCCTCTTACTATATYACTTAGTAAGTAGGTATATTGTTAAAGAGTGTYATACAAAAATATATACACTAGTGTACACTTTGCATTTAATGATAGTGATATAGCCGATATTATTAACAATATTCACGATTTTCCCATTGACGAAAATTTAGTTGAACCGCGTATTCCATGGCAACGCCGTGAAATGTCAGCCTTTACTTATGATAAACAAATAGATTATAAAAATGATTCTCACGTTATCATAGGAAATATGAATTTAATRTGTAATTATTGTCATGCATTAAAATGGTCCAAAGAGCCTACAGGTTTTTACTGTTCAGGAGAAAAAGTTGTTTTGGAAGATATTGCTGATCCRCCTGAACGATTAAAAAGTCTCTTAAATTTTTCTCATGAAAATTCAAAGAATTTTTTGGATATGATACATATTTATAATTCGGCTTTCCAAATGAGGTCTTTAGTGCAACGGAAATAAAATATGGACATTTTATACCAACATTTAAAGTTCAAGGGCAAGTATATCATTTGGCTGGTTCTTTATTACCCACCGGTACAGAAGAACCAAAGTTTTTACAGATATATTTTATGGGTGACTCGGAGAATGAAGCGAAAAGGCGTTTGTCTATTTCTCCCAATACAGATAACAAATAATATATGATTTGTAATATATGTTGCATAGAAATAATTCGTACATTCGTAGTTTTAAGAGTGCAATCGATTTGATGCCGTCCAATCCAATTTAAGATTGTTATTAGGGCTGACAGAAAACCACAAACAGAACATCGTGTTCGATATAATACTCCTCAAACTAATGAAGTAACCATATTAATTGTCGGACAAGAATTTTTTAAAAGAKATATTATATTAAGAKCTAGAGATAATATATTAACACGCGTAAGTGAAATTCATCGTTCGTACGATGCGTTACAGCTAGTATCATTTAATGTTTTGTTATGGCCAGAATGGTTATTCTATTGATGTTTCGCAAGTTAATCCAATTACAAAAATTCCTCTTAATAAAACTGTTTCCGCCATGGACTTTTACTCTTATAGACTCCAAATCAGAGAAAATTCTAATATTATACTTAAATACGRAAAACTTTTGAATCGATATATTGTTGAYATGTACGCGAAAATTGAAACTGAATGGCTTCAATATCTAAGAGCAAATCAAATTAGATTACGAACTGAACTTTACACTGACCTTCAAGATGCGATGCAAGCTGACGGAAACCCAGATCAACCCAGATCTCAGCCAGAGAGTGATTTTACYATCTTCATTTGTTGGTGGTCCACGCTACATGCAGAAACGTAAACAAGATGTCATACTTACGTACGAAATTATGGACGCCCAGATATTTTTATACGATGACGTGCAATCCTCAATGGCCGGATATTTAATCATGTTTATTTCCTAATCAAAAACCAGCTGACCGGAATGATATTATCGCTCGCGTTTTCAATTTGAAAGTGAAAAAACTTATAGATTTAATTACAAAAGAAAAAATATATGGTGGAGTTAGGTGTCATATATGTATACTGTTGAATGGCAAAAAAGAGGATTGCCTCATGTTCATCTCTTGGTGTGGCTAAACAACAAATTAAGGCCAAATGCCATCGATTTAGTTCTTAGTGCTGTGGTGCCGAATCAACGAGAAGATACTTCCCTATTTAATATCGTCAGTAGAAACATGATTCATGCCCCATGTGATCCATTTAACATGAATTCACCGTGTATGCAAAACGGAAAATGTTTAAAAGGTTTTCCGAAACTGTTAACTATTGCGACACAATCCGGGCAGGATGGTTATCCAAAATATCGTGTCGATCACCGGATGATAGTGGGTAAACTTTTCAGCTTGAAAAATCTCGTGATCGCATGGTCACAATCGATAATCGGTGGATTGTGCCATACAGCCCTTTATTATTACGTGCGTTTGACTGTCACATCAACATAGRAATTTGTCATTCAGTAAAAGCCATTCAATATATTTGTAGTTATATTAATAAAGGATCTGATCAGGCTGCATTTTCAGTAGAATCGCGTGATGAAATTAAAGCATTCCAAAATGGCAGATATATTAGTTCATCAGAAGCTGCATGGTGGATATTTGGTTTTACGATTCACGAACGGTCACCAGCGATTTTTCAGCTCTCAGTACACCTTGAAAATGGCCAACGCGTCTATTTCACTGATCAAAATGCTCGCGAAAGACTTGAAAATGTTAGAAACACCACTATTATGGCTTTTTTTGAACTTTGCTCCAGTGACGACTTCGCGAAAACATTGCTTTATATTGAAGTTCCATCTTACTATACTTTTACTTATAATCGTTTCAATAGAACAAAACAAGGTGAGCCAATTTTACAATAYCCTGGAGTCTAGAAATCCTATGTGCTCGGTCGAGTATACACTGTTCACCCAAGTAATGTTGAGTGTTATTATTTACGTATGCTTTTGCATGACGTCCGTGGACCAACTTCATTATTAGATTTAAAAACTGTTGATGACGTTATACACCGTACATTTCAAAGAGCTTGCAAAGCGCTTGGTTTGTTACAAGATGAAAATCATTGGAATTCTACTCTGGAAGAAGCTGCTTTATTTCAAACCGTGTCGAATCTAAGAGAACTTTTTGTTACTATGATAGAATTTTGCCACATTTCTAACAGTACTGTGGGAAAATCACAAAGATAATATGTCATTAGATATTTTGCAGCAAGAAMGGCATCGTTCTGGAAATCGCTATTTAACTGTCACTCCATATATTTTGAATAAAACTTTAATATTAATAGAAAACGATCTTCTGAAAATAACTGGAAAGAAGCTGTCTGATTTTAACATGGAATCACCGTTACGAACTGATGATAATGATAATAATTTTCTTAGAAATAGGGCTTATATTGCAGAAACTTCTTATGATTATGATATACTTTCAAATTACATTCTGGAGAATGAGCCGAAGTTAACAAACGATCAGCAAGTTGTTTNTGCAGAAACTTCTTATGATTATGATATACTTTCAAATTACATTCTGGAGAATGAGCCGAAGTTAACAAACGATCAGCAAGTTGTTTATMATACTATTTTACAAAGCGTATTACAAGATACTGGAGAATTATTTTTTCTTAATGCTCCTGGTGGAACTGGCAAGAGCTTCATGCTGAACCTCTTGCTTGCAAAGCTACGTGCGCAGAGTATAATTTCATCAGCATTTCATTCGAAATTTAAAAATAACAAATTTGGTATCCCACAGATATGACAGATAGCAATTCTAATCTAATTCAAAATCTAGCAATTTAGATAGATATTCCAATAGCGATTGTAATCGTGGTGGTGGTGTTCTCATTGGCATTCGTAAAGATTATCCTGCATGCAATGTAAAAGTTTTTCAATTAAATGTTGAACACATTTTTGTCCGCTTTACTATCGATTCTTGGAGCTTCATCGTTGGTGGTGTCTTTATTCCACCTCTCTCTTCTCCTTTAGTATATGAATCTCACGTCTCTTCTATTAAATATTTAATTAATACTTATCCTAATGATAAATTTATTATTTGTGGGGATTATAATATTCCAGAAACATTATGGGATAATGATAATTATGGTATTGTATATTCTTTCTCTTCTCCCTCACGTGTCCCTTGTATTCCAGAATCATTCACAGCTAACGGGTTCTTTCAAAAAAACAATATTTATAATTCAACCAATTCGATTCTAGATCTAATCTTTTCTAATGATAGAACTTTAACCACTTAAATGTCACTTGACCCGCTAGTTCCAATTGATTAGTATCACCCAGCTTTAAGTATTATACTTCCATTTAGTCTCCCGGTACCAAGCTGTAAACGAGACCACAAATTTTACAATTTCCGCAAAGGCGATTATGCGTGTTCGGGCCGGGAACGGACAATAATAGGCCGTGACGCCCGGTCACCAACTTACTTCGTGCGCCACACTCTACACACCGACCGTCCTTTGTATAATGTGTGTATATATGTATAGCACTCAACAGAAG